AACTGAAATCCCCTCCTTTACCACGTGGAACAAGACAAGGATGTCCACTTTCACCACTCTTACTCAACACAGTACTGGAATTCCTAGTCTGAGCGATTAGACAAGAGAAAAAGTTAAAGGGCATTCAAATTAGAAAGGACGAATTCAAGTTAGCCTTGTTCACAGACAACATGATCTTACATCTAGGACAACCAAAAGACTCCAACAAAAACAAACTGATAAATTCAGTCAAGTCACAGGATACAAAATCAACAGATAAAAACCAGTAGCACTTCTATACGCCAACAGCAAACATCTGAAAATAAATAAAGCAATCCCATTTGCAACAGCTACAATAAAATAGCATAAACACCTAGGACTAAACTTAATAAAAGTGAGATAGCTACAATAAAAACTATACAGTACTGATAAAAGTGAAGATAACATAATAAATTGGAAAGATAGCCCATGAGGATGGGAAAAATACTGTTAAAATGACTGTACTATCCAAAGCAATCTACATTTTCAATGTAATCCATATCAAAATATCAATGACATTCTGCACATGAAAAGAAAAAGGCAATCCTGAAATTCGTATGGAACAACAAAAGCAATCCTGAACAAAAGGAACAAAGCTGGAGGCATCACATTATCTGACTTCAAAATGCTCTATAAAATTACAATAACCAAAACAAACATGGTACTAGCATAAAAATGGACACATAGACCAATGGAACACATGAAAGAACATAGAATCCAATCCACACATTTAGTCAATGGAGTTTCAAGAAAGTCACCAAGAACATACATTGAGAAAGGAAAATCTAGATAGCCCATATGCAAATGAATGAAACTAGACGCCTACCTCTCCCCATATACAAAAGTCATATCAAAACAGCTTAAATATTTGAATATAAGACCTAAAACCATGAAACTACTGTAAGAAAACATTGGGGAAACACTTCAGGACATTGCGCTCGCAACTATTTATTGAGCAAGACCTCAAAAGCACAGGTAACCAAAGCAAATATAGAAACATGAGATTATATCAAGCTAGAAAGCTTCTGTACAGCAAAGAAAATAATCAATGAAGAAACAACCTATAGAATTGAAAAGAAATTTGCAAAGTATTCATCAGACAAGAGATTAATAACCACAATATATAGGAACTCAAACTCAATAGCAGGAAACAACCCAATTAAGAACAGGCAAAAGTCTGATGAATTCATACAAACGGCCAACAGATATATAAAAAAAAGTTCAACAATATTAATGGTCAGGGAAATGCAAATTAAAACCACAATGAGATCATCTGCCCAGTTAAAATGGCTACTATGAAAAAGTAAGAAAATAACAAATGCTGGCAAGGATGTGGAGAAAGGGGAAGGCTCACACATTGTTGGAGGAATGTAAATTAGTACAACCACTATGGAGAACAGTAAGGAGGTTCCTCAAGAAACTAAAAATGCAACTACCATATAACCAAACAATCCCAGCGTTGGATATAGATCCAAAAGAAAGGAAATCAGAGTATCAAAGAGATATCTGCACTCCCATGTTTATTGCTGCACTATTCAAAATAGCCAAGGCATGGATCAGCCTAAGTGTCCATCAATAAGTAAAAAAAAATTCTATATATATACACACACACACACACACACACACACACACACACAACTAAGTATTCTTCCTCTATAAAAAGTAATAAAATCCTGTCATTTGCAGCAACATGGATGGAACTGAAAGACATTACATTATGTGAAATATGCCAGGCACACAAAGACGTATCTCATGTTTTCACTCATACATGGGAACTAAAAATAAGTTGATTTCATAGATAGTGAATACAATAGTGGTTTTGAGGCTGGAAAGAGTAGTAGGTAGAGGCATGAAGAGGGGTTGACTAATACATAAGAGATTACAGCTCAATAGAAGGAGTAAGATCTAGTGTTCAGCAGCACAACAGGGCAACTATAGTTAACAATAGTTTACTGTACATTTCAAAATAGCTATAAGAGAAAATTTAGAATGTTCCCAACATAAATTTTTGAGGAGATGGATCTCCCAGTTATCCAGATTTGATCATTACACATTGTATGCTGGTATCAAAATCACATACACCACACAAATATGTATAACTATCATATATCAATAAAAATGTTTAAAAAGCAATAAAGGGCATTTAACTTGGAAGAAATCCCATTGTCCTCCCTTTGCAGACAACATGACGTTATATATGGAGAAACTAAAAGACTCCACCAAAATACTCTTATAACTGATAAGCTGCAAGACACAAAATCAACATGCAAAAATCAGCAGTGTTTCTAAACACCAATAATGAACTACCTGAAGCAGAAATCAAGAAAGTAATCCCATTTACAATATCTACCCACCGACCCCCCCGCAAATAGACACCTAGGAATAAATTTAACCAAGGAGGTGAAAGGCCTCTGCAATGAGAACTATAAAACATTGATAAAAGAAACTGAAGAGAACACAAATGGAAAGGCATACCATGCTCATTAATTGGAAGAATCAACATTGTTAAATGATGATACTATCCAAAGCAATCTACAGATTCAATGCAATCCCTATTAAAATACCAATGATATTCTTCAAGAAATAGAACAAATGATTCCAAAATTAATATGAAAACAAAAAAGACCCCAAATAGCCAAGGTAATACTGAGCAAAAAGAACAAAGCTGGAGGCATCACACTACCTAACTTCAAAATATTCTACAAGGTTATACTAACAAAAAAAACATGGAATTGGTCTAAAACCAGACACACAGACCAATGCAACAGAACAGAAAACCCATCATTAAATCCACGTATTTATAGGCAACTGATTGTCAACAAAGGCGCCAAGAACATCCAGTGGGGAAAGGACACCTCTTCAATTATTTGTCATCAGAAAAGTGGATATCCACATGCAGAAGAATGAAACTAAACCCTTATCTGTCACCACACAGAAAAATCAACCAAAATCAATTAACTACTGTGAGCCTGGAAACTATAATACTAAAAGAAAACATAGCAGAAACACTTCAGGACATTGGTCTAGGCAAAGATTTTATGGCTAAGACCACAAAAGCACAGGCAACAAAAACAAAAATAGACAAATGAGACTGTATTAAACCAAAATGCTTCTGCAGAGCAAAGGAAACACTCAACAGAGTGAAGAGACAACCTATAAAATGGCAGAAAGTATTTGCAAATTATGCATTCAAAAAGGAACTAATATCCAGAATATACAAGGAACTCAACAGCAAAAATATCACAAATATTCCATTTCAAAAGAGGGCAAAGGATCTAAATCGACATGTATCTAACACATATACAAAAAGCCAATAAAAATGCTTATCACCAACCATCAGGAAAATGCGAATCAAAACCAAAATGAGGTGTCATCTCACCCCAAATAGAATGACTATTACCAAAAAGACAAAAAATAAACAAATAAATAACAAATGCTGGCAAGGATGTGGAGAAAACGTACTCTCATACTAGGTTGGTGCAAAAGTAATTGTGGTTTTTGCCATTAAAAGTAATAGTTACCCACTCCCAAAAAGAGACACCTAGGAATAAATTTAACCGAGGAGGTGAAAAGCCTCTACAATGAGGCCACTGCCATTACTTTTAATGGCAAAAACTGCAATTACTTTTTCACCCACCTAATAGTATAATCATTATGGAAAACAGCATGAGGGGTTCTCAAAAAAACTAAAAATAGAACTACCATACAATCTAGTCATTACAGTACTGGGTAGTTATTCAAAGGATAGAAAATCAATACATCAAAGGGATACTGGCAGCCCCATGTTTACTATAGCAGCACTATTCACAAAAACTAAGATAGGAAATCAGCCTATGTGTCCATCAATGGAAAAATGGATAAAGAAAATGTGGCATATATACACAATGGAATATTATTCAGCCATGAAAAAGAATGACATTCTGTCATTCATGGCAACATGGATGGGCCTAGAGGACACTATGTTAAGCAAAATGAGTCAGGAGCAGAAAGAGAAAATGCTCCGTGTTCTCACTCATGTGTGGGAACAAAATAAATTGATCTCATGGAAGTAGGGAGCAGAACTGTGGGTACTAGAGGCTAAGAAGGTGGGGAGAGGTTGGTTAATGAACACAAACTTAGGAGGAACGAATCTGCTCATCTGCAGCACTGCAGGGGAGATACGGTTCACTTTAATTTATTGTATATTCTCCAAATGCTAAAAGAAGATTTTGAATGTTCACAACACAAAGAAATGATAAATATATGAGGTGACATGCTAATTACCCTGATACGATACTACACATAATATACACATAATTATCACTCTGTATCCCACAAATATGTGCAAGCATTATGTGTCAACTAAAAACAAAAGGAAAAAACTATAGGGATAAAAAACAGATCAGTGGTTATCGGGGGTTGGGGTAGGGGTGGTAAGGTTGACTATAAAGGGACATGAGGGCACTTTTTTGGGAAATGAAACCATTCTGTATCTTGATTTTGATGGCAGTTTCATGACTGCATTTGTTGAAATCATAGAACTGTCTCACTAAGTAGGATAAATTTTTCGCATGTAAATTGTACCTCAACAAACCTCATTTTATTTTAAAAAAACATTTTTAAGGAAATAAACTAGGTAAAACTTGGTATATGTTGTTTACTGAGCAATAACTTGTCAATCATAATGTAATTCAACCTGCTAACTACATATGTTCTACTAGCACTCTGTCCTTCACCCATCCTTTTAATTACATGTTTAACGCCTACATTCCCACGTGACTCTAAACTCCATAGATCCTTGCCTTTGGTTAAATCTCAGCTTGGTGGGTGACAAAAGTTCCAGGAAACAAAATATATGCAGTTTGATGAGTTACCTTATGTATCTCTTTCCTACCATGTACTGAGGGTCATTACTTTTGGGTTTATGAAACCAAGGTGGAGTTCTCTGAAGATCATTGAGATTTTGCCATGGAGGTGTTTCAATCTGGTTCCATACTACATACCTTGTCCTGGGTTTGGCAACGGAAACAGTCGCATTCAAAGCAGTACTGGTCCCTCAGCTGCTTCCGGCGCTCCTCGCTGGTCATCAGCATATCCAGGTAGCAGATGGTGAGCTGTGCAGGCCAGAGAGAGGGAAGCGTTGACACATCTGCTGTGCTCATTTCTTTAACAAATGGTTACTATTATTGCTAATTATTGGAGTAAAACTTGTTTTTATTATAAACCAGAAATTTGAGAGAAGGTACCACTCAGTTTCTCTACCCAAATAATCACATGTAAATTTTTAATCTACTTCCCTTCAGTCTTTGTTATGTGGTAAGTACATATGGATCATATATTTAAAGAATGGGGCTTATGATCTCTACCCACTTTTGTATCTTACTTTTTTTTCCACTACAGTAAAATATCAAAAGCTGCTGTATGTTTGGTATTACTAAGGTTTGCTAATAAATTCTATAACCATTAGCAATCAGAAAAGCCAAATTAATCCTGGCAACCAAAAGGGTGGCAGATGATACAGCCAGATTGCTCTTAAATTCTAACCAATTCTATAGCTGCCTCATGGAATTTAAGGTCATCCAAATTTGGTATCTTTGAAATGAGAAAACAGTTCTCTTACTTGTAACTAGGTTTAAAAAAAGGTAGAATAATTTCCAAATAGGGGAGAGTTTAACTTGAGAGTAGCAGCGCTGACGGAAGCATTTAACTGACTGCCTTACGCCCTTTCGGAGAAACATCCCCTGCCTCGGACGGTGCGGGTTATGAATGAGAGGATGTATTTAAAGGACTCCTCAGACACTCTCTAACGCTGAGTCCCCTTTAAGTCACTGGTCTTTAGGCAACATTATAATGCTTAAAGCATTTTGCACTTGATTAGATCTCTTATGAAAGTCTAACTCAAAATCCGGAAGACAGAATGCTTGATCTTCCCGTCAACCTGTTCCAATGTTCTCGGCTGGAACATTCCCACTCTCAGTTGACAGTAACTCATCTTTTGTCTTATCCAAGTTGAAGCCTCAGAGTTATCCTTGACTTTGCTCTTTCCTTTACACCTACCATCCAATCCACCAGGAAATTCTGCGGCCTCTACCTTAAAAATCACCCAGAATCAACCACTTTTTACCTTTTCCAATGCTACCACGCTGGTCTGAGCCATCTTTACCTCTTACCTGGAAAAGGTAACAGTCTCACAACTGTTGTCCCTGATTCTTTCTCTAGGCCCCTGCACTCCACCCCCTAGCCAGAGCGGTTCACTTAAAATATGTCAGATGGCATGTTCTGTTTGAAACATCACAACGCTTCCCCACTTTGCCTGAGTAAAGGTCAGGTCCTTCTAACTCCCCAAGTGCAACTCAAGTATGGGTCCTGCATTGGTGCTGGTGCACACTGTGGGTTACCAGTCCATGATGAAATGAGTAAAGAAACCAAGTCAATATTTAGAAATGTTTTTTACTAATTTGGTAAGGGTAATTTTAGGTGACTCTAACAACAAAACACTGGGCTTTTTTTCTTTTTTTAAAAAAAGACAGGGTCTCACTCTGCCACCAAGGCGGGTATGCAGTGGCATGATCACAACTCACTGCAGCCTCAACCTCCTGGACTCGGGTGATCCCCCCACTCAGCTTCCCAGGTAGCTGGGACTACAGGCATGCACCACCACACTGGCTAATTTTCTGTCTTTCTTGTAGAGATGGAAGTTTCGCCATGTTACCCAGGATGGTCTTGAACTCCTGGGCTCAAGCAATCCTCCCTCCTTGACTTCCCATGGGATTACAGGCATGAGCCACTGCACCCAGCCGTTTTATTTTACATTCTCTAAATTTTATTTTTCTAATATTTTCACTAGATTTTATAAAAACACTGGTCTGTAACAGACTAGGAAGGAAAAGAAACACTGGTCCTTCGTCGTAGGTGGTTAGAGAAGCAATGGCTTCACATAATCCCACCTGTTCCCTCTCATTTCCCACCTCCCTTGTTGCTGCTCCACCAGGCTGGCCTCCTGTCTGGCTCCACACACACTCCTACCTCAAGGCCCATGCACTGGCTGTTCCCTCCGCCCTTCCACCCTGTCTACTGTGCCAACCTCATTGCCTTTGAGTTTCAGTCAAATCCCACTTTCTCATTCAGGTCTAACCTCAATGCCCTATTAAAGGTAACAACCCAATTCTCTTCCCTTCTCTAGTTTTTTCTTTTCCTGTATCATGTATCAGCTTGTACCATACTGTATAAATTACTTCTTTGCTTTGAAAAGTAGAAAGTAATCATGGGGGTATGTGTGGTGGGGGAAGAAGTGAAGACTTTTGGAGAGCAAGAAGGCAGGATTATCCACGGAAGGAGAAGCAAAACACGCCCCAGAGCAAAAAACTCCATGTGGTTTTTCTTATACTTAAAGCATCTCATGTCTACAAAGCATGATCTTACTTGTTTGAAATCATGGTGGGGCAAGGGCGGCCATCCTCTTTGGCAGACAACGAAGCTTTGGGAAGGACTCTCTCAAGCTGTCGGGGTGATGGTGGATGGCTGGGCTGGCCAGCCAGATCTGTGAAATCCACCATGGCCATCACCGTCACCATCACCAAGGGGACAGGAGCCACAGCCTGATCTGGCTGGCTGGCTCTCCATAGATTCTTCACATTAGGCAACCATAACACGCTGCTCCATAAACAGAAACGAGAGTATCTGCCCCGAAGAGATGCAGATGATGATGTTACTGAGTATCCACTGTTTGTGGCGAGGCAGCATTGCACAGTAAAAACTCGCAAAGGTCTTAGGTTCAGGTACCACTGAAGACTGCACCCAGATCTCTTGATTTAAGTCTGATGCTCTTTTTCCTTTAACATGGCTGCTTCTCATACTTGGCGGGGAGAGAGGGCTGTAGAAGCAGCTGGCATCTCTTAAGGCATTTCCGTAGTACCCTCAAACCTAAAATACTAACACCTGTGTTAGGGAATGTTCGGTAGCAACTGAGATCCTTCAGCTGAGACAACAGCCACTTTTTGATTTTCTCCATGTTTCTCTTGCTTCATGATCTGAAGCCAGGGTTGCCTCTGAGGCACAGAGGGTCACCACACCAGGCAAGTTCCTCTCGTTTCTAACGAATGCTATGTTCCAAATTCCAAATAACCTATTTCCAAGCACACCTTTTGAAACAGCCTATGAGTTAGTCTGGGACAGTAGATACATTCATCCTATCCTAGCAGGCTCTGTGGGTCCCAGTGTCCTTATAGGAGGTGAGGGAGCAAATGAGTCCATCCCTATGTCCCCTTTTGGGTTAACTCTAGGACACTAATTCTGAACCCAGCCCAATGGCTCTTAGTCATCAACTCCCATTATCCGAGCAGGTAAATGGACAGTGATTTTGGGTGATTACAGTGTGCCCAGTGTGAAGCCACTAACTCCAGGGCCTGTCACACCAGAAAAAAATGTGCTTGACTAACCCAAGACTTTATTACAAGGGCCAAAACTCATTAGTGATCTTTTCAGGCAGTGAATGGGCAACAGGAGACTAGTTATTTCACTTAACCCCAATAAACTGACTCTTAAAGCCTCCCTCGGCATACTGTAACTGCCTGAACTGCTACCTGGACTATGCAATGGCTTTCTAACTGGCTTCCCCACCGCCTTCAGTGTACCTTTCATCTTCTAAACTGCTTTGAGAGGGATCTTCCTAAAACCCCCATGTGATCACGTCATTTCTCTACATGAAAACTTTCGACGGTTTCTCACTGCCTATGAATAAAGGCACATAAGGCTTTCCCTCAGCTAATTTTCTGTCTGCCTTTCTAGTCTCCATGTCTCTCCCTGAACCCCAGCCTGTCACAGTTATGTACATTGCTAGACCTCGGAAACAATGAATACCATGCCAACACGTGTCTGGGCATCACTGCCTAAGCGAGGCTCTCCTCCACACTCAGCTTACTGACAGCCTCTCATCCTCCAGGCTTGGTTCAAATACACCTCCTTCCTATGGCGACTGCCCCATTACCTCAGAGAAAGTGGCCCATTTTTGTGCTTCTTATATGCCAATGAAGTCTGCAGAGTATCTGGTTATCAACTGTGAAGGGCTTAATGGCAAAAATATTTTATTCTTATTTTTGGAAAAAAACAGCCAGATTACTAACTGGTAATGACACCTAAAAGCATGTTATTAGCCAAAGATAAAAACTTTTATTAAAGACTCATTGACTCACCAGTTGTAACGGAATATCTGCTCAGTAAATGCAGGGCTCATTTAGAGGGAACATATATATGAAACTTGGCCATTGATCAGTAGACGCCTTAACGGCACTAAACAAAATTGTATTAAAATATTAATGCCACTGACCACTGCTTTGCCATTTTCGTGCAGCTCTTATAGAAAATGCAGTAATTCATTTCTGACATTAGAGTAATATAATGAAGGAGATTTTCTAGATCTTGAATACATAGTTTACATTAAAATCTCAAGACAAAATGAACTCCTTTTCCATGAAACCATCTTTTCATTGACTACAACTGAGTGGATAAGATAAGCAAGTTAAGGCCGGGCGCCATGGCTCACGCCTGTAATCCCAGCACTTCGGGAGGCCAAGGCGGGGGCATCACGAGGTCAGGAGATGGAGACCATCCTGGCTAATATGGTGAAACCCCATCTCTACTAAAAATACAAAAAATTAGCCAGGCATGGTGGCGGACACCTGTAGTCCCAGCTACTCGGGAGGCTGAGGCAGGAGAATGGCGTGAACCCGGGAGGTGGAGCTTGCAGTGAGCCGAGATTGCACCACTGCACTCCAGCCTGGGCAACAGAGCCAGACTCCCTCTCCAAAAAGAAGAAGAAGAAGAAAAAGACCAAGTTAAAATTAGACCTTGTTTCATTTCTAGAATTCCGTGACCACAGTTAACAAATGTTTCTGCTAATACTGGCTCTGAACTGGAAAAAAGCCTGAAAAATATAACTTCTTTTTAAAGTCAAACCAGAGTATCATTGTGTCTCTTCTTGTTGCGCACATCCTGCTAATTTTACCTTCTAAATATTATATTCTTCAGATACCCTATCACAAGCCACCACTGAGCTCCCCCTGACTGCGGGCTACCAATGTTATCTCTTCCCTGGATTATTACATCACCCTGACCCTCATTCTCCCAACCTTGCCTACACATAGAAAAGTGGTCATACAAAAATAGGCAGTGGGGAAAGGACATCCTATTGAATAAATGGTGCTGGGACGGCTGGCTAGCTATATGCAGAAGACACCTACCTTGCACCATATATAAAAAATTCAAAGATCAAAAATTTAAATTTAAGACCACAAACTTTATGAACCCTAGAAGAAAACCTAAGAAACACCATTCTGGACATCAGCTTTCGGAAAGAACGTATGACTAAGTCTTCAACAGCAATTGCAACAAAAACAAAAATTGACAAGTGGGACCTAAAGAGTTTCTGCACAGCAAGAGAAACTGTCAACACAGTAAACAAACAACCTACAGAATGGGAGAAAATACTCACAAACTGTGCATCTGACAAAGGTCTAATACCCAGAATCTGTAAGGAACTTAAGCAATTCAACAAGCAAACAACCCAATTAAAAAGTGGGCCAAAGACACGAGCAGACACATTTCAGAAGATGACATACCAGCAGCCAACAAACATGTTTTTTAAATGCTCCGCATCACTAATCAGGGAAATGCAAATCAAAACCACACAATAAGATACCATCTTACACCAGTCAGAATGGCTATTACTAAAAAGTCCAAAAATAACAAGTGTTGGTGAGGCTGCGGAGAAAAGGGAACACTTATACACTACTGGCGGGAATGTAAATTAGTTAAGCCACTGTGAAAAGCAGTTTGGAGAGGAGCTTAGAACTACCATTTGAGCCAACAATCCCATTACTGGGTATATACCCAAAGAAAATAAGTCATTCTACAAAAAACACCCATGCACTCACGTGTTCATCACAGTGCTATTCACAATAACAAAGAAATAAAATCAACCTAAGTGCCCATCAACAGTGCACTAAAAAATGTGGTACATATTCACCATGGAATAGTATGCAGCCATGAAAAAGAATGACATCATGTCCTTTGTGGCAACATGAATGCAGGTAGAGGCCACTCTCCTAAGCCAATCAAGGCAGAAACAGAAAACCAAACACAGCAATTATAGATTTCTCATAAATTGTGGAAACAAATATTTAGAGAATCTATCAAACCACTCACCCAATGTTCTCACTTATAAGTGGGAACTAAACATTGGGTACTCATGGACATAAAGATGGCAGTGACAGACACTGGCACTACTAGAGAGGGAGGTAGGGCAAGGGGTGAAACACTGTTGGGTACTATGCTCACTACGGCGGTGAAGGATCCATCATACCCCAAAGCTCATATCATGCAATACACCCACACAGCACACCTGCACATGTGCCCCCAAATCTAAAATACAAGTTGAAATTATTTTTTAAAAAATCACAATTAGGTTACTAAAGCATTCTTTTGGTTTAATTCAAAAGGTAAATGAATAATTATATTTCTTTTACACTTATCCATTCTTAAGAATGGGATAGGGACTTTTATAATGAATTTAACAGTGAAATCACAATTTAGTAATTTATTGAATATAATAAAACCCTGTTAAAAGTAATTTTATCATCTTAAGCCAAAAACAAAAATCAAACTTTTATGGATTTATATTCAACAGCCTAAACCTGAAAGCACCTGCTCATTGCAGACTTCAAGGTACCTTTATGTAAAGTGAAACTGGTCATAACACTTTCAGCTTCAATTTCAGAGGAGCATGTGTTAGAACAAAGACTGCTTATAGAAAATGTGAATTTAAGAATGGAAAGTCATCTGTGTGGATGTCATCATGGACCAACACTTCTACACACAAACCAAATGTTATTCAACAGATTTAGCGATCTTTCTTGCCAAGTCCAAACATCAGCCAGACCACCTCCGCCAAAGACCGATTCTTCTGCTTTGATACGTGAGATGAGATCTATTTACTATACACTATACTTCTGATAGATTCACTAAATATTTGTTTCCACAATTTATGAGAAATCTATATTGTTATATAATTTTTTTGACACTCACCATCTGAGCTCTACTTTTCCCTTCAGGAAACTCTAATCATAAGTAGAAGAAGAAAATCACTATTTATTAAGTGTCATGTGCTGGGCACTGTCCTAGATAAATAATTTGTGACTTTGATCCTGAGAATGAAGCTTTAGTAACCCCCTGAACACTGCATAGTAGTAAGTGTAGCACTGAACAAGTAATTTCCCAGTTTAAACCTTACATTTGCTTCCATAAAATAAAAAAAATGAATATGTAACATTATCTGAGTTTTCTAAGATTCCAAAGATGGTACAGACTACTTAGGTCTTATTCAATTTTGTAGTCCTTGGGTTTTGTTTTTTGTTTTTACCTATTAGGCGTCATCTATTGCTTCCTAAATTGAATCGCCCTATAAATGTCCCCTATCATCATAGCCATGGTTGTATATACAAGAAGTGAATGAAAGGCAAAGGAAACATCACATTTCAATCATATGAAGTTCAATGGTTCAATGACTTGAGACAAACTCACACTACAGCAACAGTGACTGAGGTAAAATTGAATGTACACTGAGTAAAAGGTTTAATTTGTGATATCCCAAATCTAACTCATCAGTTAGCAGAATTGTGTGGGGTTTTAAAAATTGTTTTCTTTAAATGTTCTATGTATAGTACGTACAATAAAAAAACAGTAACATTTGTAAACATGCAGGAAAAAAAAAAAGAATATCTGGCCACACAGTTCCTTTGCTGAAACCCTTCAATAATATCCCATTGCCCGTCCTTCTCCCTTCCACAAATATTTACTGGGCGCCTCCTATAAACCAGACAATGTTATGAAACCTTCAGCTAAACCAAGGTCTGTAATAAGGTCCCCAGGGGGGTTGTCAATCTGATCCCTACATATTCCCTCAACTTCGGGTCACATCTAAATTCTTCAGTCTATTGATGAGAACTGCTTCTTGCTCCTTGAACTTACCATTCTGTCCCTGGCCTCTGTGTCTCTGTCTACAATGCCTTTTCCAGCCTCATCCAACTCTAACACCATGGATCCTTTCATAGTGTAGGAGTCAGTCCTCTGGAAACATCCCTTAGCCACTCTCCACTCCCTCCCCTTACTAATCACTTGGGTGCCCCGGCTCTGAGCTTCTATAAGCCCTGTGCCCATTTACACCACTGTGCATCTTAATTCTATTATTGTTTATTGTATCAGTTTCCTCAACTATACCTTGAACTCTAGAAGGCAGGGCTGGGTCTTAATAATCTTTGTATTAGAGAAGGTTTCTAAAACTGCTACCCAAGTCCTGCCATCGAGTAAACATGCAGTGAATTTGTTTAATGGTTTAGCAAATAAGATGACTAAGAGAAGAAACAGACTGTCTTAATCCCAAAAGACATCAGATTAAGACTGACATTAGGGACACTAATGAGTTCACCTTCTTTCAATCACAGTTCTCCCAGTTGATATGGCTCCAGAGAATGCTGGCGCCAATGGCATTATTCATACCAGCTACAAGTTATTTTAACCACAACTCCCATAAGACTGCTTTGGACTACCCAGCTTTCCTCCCTGATTCATGTTTTATAAAACTATCAGACCAAATGAATTTCATATTTAAGATAATTTTGAAAAGGTAGCCAACAGCAATCCAGTCAAGTGAGCCATGACTTACATGATATTACACATCTCTCTCTAGGAGGTGGCTGAATGGGGAGACAAAAATCCAAACTCAAAAAAAAAAAAAAAAAGGCCCAATAACTCCGCATTACAATGGAGAGCCTTAAACAGCAAAGTATTATAATTGTTGCTGGATGCAAGGAAACTGTACAAAGAGGGTCCAAAGGATAGATTTATATAGAGAGAAACAAGGGGTAAGAAATTTCCATGGCAACTTCTGTTACCATAGACCTTGGGCAATTTTCCAGCTCTCCTTGTGTGAGGTTTGAGATGCTCCCACCTTAAACTGGCAGTAGACTGGCTTTCATATTCCCCTCCTTTCAGGAGCCATGGGACACCCCTGAGGACTGCCAGTCATTTACCAATGTCTGAGATTCTATTCCAGCTTTTTTTTTTCTGAGACGGAGTTTCACTCTTATTGCCCAGGCTAGAGTGCAATGGCATGATCTTGGCTCACTGCAACCTCCGCCTCCCAGGTTCAAGCGATTCTCCTGCCTCAGCCTCCTGAATAGCTGGGATTACAAGCGTGCGCCACCATGCCTGGATAATTTTTTATATTTTTAGTAGAGACAGGGTTTCACCATGTTGTCCAGGCTGAATGCAAACTCCTGACCTCAAGTGATCCACTTGCCTTGGCCTCCCAAAGTGCTGGGATTACAGGCATGAGCCACGGTGCCCAGCCCTATTCCAGCTCTTATTTTATCTTTAAGAAGTCTCGTTAATTTACTCAACAAATGTAGATTGAGGAACTTCTGCCTCAGTTGCTGTTGAGTCTTCCATTGTGAAGCCTATATTCTGACACACAGATCCCAAATAGCTCATATTAAAACTATGGGTGCCCTAATGAACACTAAAACCAAATGCAAAGTTCATGATACGAAATTATCAACATGTCTAAATTTTTTCCCCAAGGAATTTTAACTTTAAAAAAATTAACACATAATATTTATACATATTTATGGGGTCCAGGTACCATTTTGTTACATGCATAGGATGTGTAATGATCAAGTCATGGTATTTGGGTTATCCATTCCCTCACGTATTCACCATTTTTGTGTGTTGGGAACACAAAATGTCTAGACTTACTCCTTCATTAATTTAAAGTTAATATTTGTACAACAAATAGGAATTACCCTCCTTAATCAATGCCTCAAAACGTCTCTTCTCATGGCTCTCCCTCCCCCTACCTCTGCTCCAAGGGGTCAGTGTGAAAGGCATAGGACATATTTGAGTTGTTGGGGGATGGCTACAGGCATTAGTTAAGCACAGGCCAAGGACGCCAAGTCTTCTCCAATGATGCAACAATCCCACACAATGAAGAACTGTCCCATTCAAAATGGCAATAGCGTCCCCACAAGAAATACCGCTGGTCATGAGAGTAAGCTCAATATAATAGAGTGTCAATTCAACAAAAAGTTTTCAAATGCCTCCTGGGTGCAAGGCAAAGTGCTAAGAGATACAGAAATAAGACACAATTGTCTATCCTCGTAAAGCTCATAAATAGAGAGGTCTCCAAAAGAGCCATAATAACGTGCCAAAGATGTATTAATAACCACTATAAGGGAGAACTTCCATCTAACATGGGAAATCAGGGAAAGAGTCATAGACGAGATGGTGATTGAAAGGGTATCTTAGTCCATTTTCTGTTGTTTTAACAGAATACCACAGACTGGGTACTTTATAAATACATTTCTCAGTTCTGGAGGCCGGGAAGCATGATGCCAAGAGCACGGCACCGGCATCTGGGGAGGGCCTTCCTGCTGCCTGATCACAAGAGGAGGTGGCAGGAGTGTCCTCTATCTTATAAAGCCACCAATCCCATCATGGGGTTCCCACCCTGATAACCTTATTTAATCCAAATTACTTCCCAAAGACTCCACCTCCACAAACCATTAACAAGAATTTGGGGATAAAGTTTTCAACAGATGGAATCTGGGGGACACATTTAAATCATAACAAAGGGTCTCAAAGGGTGCATAATAATAAGACAAATAGCCATAGTGGACAGAGAGGACGATGAATCAGGGGAAACACTGTTCGGCAAGACCTACAAAATGGAATGCAGAAATGTTTATTAACAAGCTGGTATATATGAAGGACTTGTGGGGAGAACCTTCTTTTCGTTGAGAAGATGTCTTGCCAAGTACCACAGGGGAAAACATCTGAGTCTGAAGGGCTTTACACTGAGTGGAAATGTCTTGTATTAGGCAAGAGGAAGGATTTGCTTGTTGCTCCAGAGATGGAAAGAGAAAGATGTGAAAACGTGAAAGCAGCACCAAAAGACAAAGCTTTATTCAACTAAGTGAAACGCAACCATGGGAGAATGACTGGCAGCCGAGCCTAGGAAAATATAAGAAACTTTCTTTGTTGTTTCTGAAAATTCCAACCAGTTCTAACTGCTTTTGTCAGGTTACTTGGTTTTTTAAATTTGCAAAAACATCATCATCATCGACAACAGCAGCAGCCACTCTTCAGCCCCAAAATGAATACTGCTGAAAATAGTGGTTTCATCTCTTACCTGCCTTGAAGTCCTTTGTGGCCCCAGAAAAAAAAAAAAAAGAAAAAACCAAATTCTCCATCTCACTGACATATATCCCAGTATACTTCATTCACTGGTCCTAAAATCTAGAAATTTAGCAAGTAGTTGTGTAAGAAGTGGTTTATTCCACTGAAAATCAGTTTGGGGAGAATCTGGTCAAAGCCAAATCCCTGTCTACATAAAATATGGTACCTCTGAGTTTAAGTTTTATTGGCTGAGTGCTACATAAATGCAATAAAAGTTTTCGATAGTTTTCCTTGCAATAAATATCCACTTTAGCAAATTGGAAAGGAGAAGGAAACGGGGTTCTGGAACGTGTAAGTATCTGTAACTCAGAACTCAGCACGGGTAGTCACTGTGCAAACCCGTGCAGCCTTAGGTCACAGCCCTAGAGCAGGCCGTTGCAGCTGCCTTGTGAGAAGGTTCTTCACCAGAGGAGGCTGGCTGCACCGTCTATCCAACTGGAGGGTCAAGGCCAGTTCACTGCTGGAGGTCATCCTCCCTGTCCTCCATCCCCTTTGCACCTTTGCTGGAATGATCACCCAGAGATGCCGGTTTGAAAAGTCCCAGTGTCAGCCTGAGACAGTATAAGCTGTTTGCTTGTTAACACAAAGTGAACATGCAGAATTACCTTCAAAATGTAACCAGTGGCCTTTCGGGTAAAGAAGTCCTGGGGACCCCCACTCACAAACTGGGATGCCCTCCCTGCCTACGGAAGGATATGAGAGGCTGCTCGGCTGTTGCCACTGAGGAGATTTAATGACTTCCCTGTGTGTGCATAAAACACACACCCTCTGTCACACACAGACACCTCTCTGTCACACACAGGACAGGAACTGACTTCCCTGTGTGTGCATAAAACACACACCCTCTGTCACACACAGACACCTCTCTGTCACACACACAGGACACGAACTGACTTCCCCTGTGTGGGCATAAAACACCACCTCTGTATCACCACACAGACACCTCTCGCACAACGACACAGGACACAACTGACTTCCGTGTGTGCATAAACCAACCCCTCCTCTCACAGCCACAGACACCTCTCTGTCACCACAGGACAGGAACCATTCCATCATCCAGAAATACACTGACCTCCCCTAAAAAATTAGGCTCATTTGTAATTTGGGATTAACAAAGGATAAGGCTGACCTGGGAGAGCTGACTGTACTCTGAGTACCCTCGAGTGCGCAGAAGACAATGGAAAGCTGTCCCCCTCAGGCACACACTCGTTTCTAGGAACGGCCCGAACTTGAGGACGGGTCCTTTGATAAGGATAAGAAGACCCAGGGGGGGAAGCATGAGGTTTCTACCTTATCCTCTTCCCACTCCGACTGTCCCGGACCGGCTTGCAGTAGAAGAGGTGGGGCCATTGACACAAGTGCGAACAGTTGGGGTCACAGCCTGGTGATTGAGCAAAAGAGAATACCCGGAAGAAAAAGGGGTAGACCTGTCCAGCTCAGCAGGTAGAGTCGAACAATGCAATCTAACAAAGCCAGTGAGTAAGAAGATACCTATCGCTTTGTTGGGGCCGGATCCCAGGGGTAGGGTTGAACAGACGCCAGACTCAGCTATGTCCAGGGTACATTCACAGAATGCCACTCGGCCACTTCCTAGGAGACCGGTACAATTCTCCCCAAGATGCAGGCTAATTAAGGGATTCTATCATTTAATGAATGTAAAAAATTGTTTTTCTGAGTCCTTTTTGGGGACTGGGGGCATAGTTGATTTGATTAGATAACAGTCCATAAAGCAGCCAAACATGGTCAGAAAAAACCTGACTCCAAAAGAAATACTTAGAGGCTGGTGCGGGTGGCTCCATCTTGTAATCCAGCACATTGGAAAGTCGAGGTGGGTGCATCATTTGAGGTCAGCCAGTTGAGGACGCAGCCTGATTAAACATGGTGAAACCCTGTCCTACTAAAAAACAAAAAATTAGCCAGGCATGGTGGTACATGCCTGTAGTCCCCAGTTTACATCAGGAGGCTGAGGCAGGAGAACCACTTGAAGCCCGGGAGCGGTGGAGGTTGCAGTGAGCCGAGATGACACGTTGCACTCCAGCCTGGGTGACAGAGTGAGATTCCATCTCAAAAAAAAAAAAAAAAAGAGAAAAAGAAAAAAGAAAAAAAATACTCTCAGACAATAATGGATGGCAACAGCCAAGATACCACTGGACCCTTCCCATAGGATCCTCATCTTGTTGAGCTCCTTTGGAGAAATGGCGGCCTTTGCTAGAACATCCACGTTGAAGAATAATTAGGAGTATTTGCTCTTACATAGAGAGCTGATGTTATTTTGTCAACTACATCCTGATGCATCCTGGGCCACGGTCCAGTCGTTTCGTTACCTTGGAGGTATATTTCTTACCGTCTGGGAAACACACTGGATTTAAACTGCTATGAGAAATTGACAATAACTAGAATGAGCACTTATATGTAGAAACACTTTCTTGCATTTGAGCATGTTCATCACATTTCATCCTCACAACGATCTCATAAGGATCATTTACCGGTAAAGAGGCTGCTGCACAGAAATTCAATGGCTTGCCCAAGGACATACAACTAGTAAGTGGCAATGGAATTTGGACCGGGGCTGGAACTCAGAGCCCACGCTTTGAATCATCCTATGCTACTGCCTTTTGAGAACCACCTACCAGTAGACCTGACCTACGGTTAATCACAATGGTGAGAAATAAGAAAAAAGGCTGAATTCTTAAGTTCACAATTATTAGAAAGTCTAAATTTGCATTTGGACTCTTACGGCATAAAAACAAAACGAAACTGGGCGTGACTATAGTGCTTGTGGGAAGACAGTTTCATAGCTCAGTGGGAAGGTTCAGCTCAGCAACGGCTGGAGAGAGCGTTCGGGGGCCAAAGCCTCAGAGTTTTCTTGCCCCCCTGAGTGAAGGGGCTCAGAGTACGCCAACGCGAAAGACAGAATGAACCCAACTGACGCGTAGGGCAAATCCGGTGAAATAATCACGTGCTTCAGCTCAGGAAATCGGGGAACAACCAAAAATCAGCCTGATGGCTAATTAGCACTCACCGTCCTCAACTTCTTCACCCAAAGTCCCCCTGAGAATAAGAATTTAGTTCTGAGATCTGCCCATTTGTTAATACCACAGCATATAATGTGGGATTATAAAATTTTTTCTTTAAACTTAACATTTTCCTTTTTTTTTTTGTAATTTATTGCTAAGTTTTAAGCTTGGCTCTTGAACAAGCTGCTGAAGCTGCCTTTGTAACTGCCTCTAAAGGGCTGGGGATTTGGGTGGGAATGAAAGTGTGTCTTCCAGTAAATGAAGCACCATACACCATACCTAGGATACAGGCCAACACCAACTTCCTGCATCTCGGCATTACAGATGGTGAAAGAGTTGCAGATCACCTGTAAAAACAAGGGGGAAAACCATCAATATTACCAGAGTCACTTAAGAAACTTCGTAGCCAAGAGAATGAAACTTTTCAAAATCAAATGTAGGAGCATCTTAGTAGTTGCGTAAGAAAGATCCAAGCCAATCATGGATGCTCTCTGATTTACAACAGAATTTATCTGGGATATACTCCCCCTAACAACATGAGGTGGTTAAGTGCAGAAATACGAACTTCCTGGGGGGAAAAAAAAACCAGACTTAAACCAACACGAAACCATTAATTTCAGTATCATTATCCACTACACCCAAAGTTACAGTTACAAGAAATGTTCGAAATTCAGAATACAAATAAGCTATTTATTGAAAACCAGACTCCTACAGTATCATGATTTTTTCACTCAAACTGCATGCAGTTTCCAAATGCCACCGTGTATCTGTTGAGTAATGGCAACTTGTCTCTTACTCCCACAAAAAGCAAAGTATTGGCTGGGCGCGGTGGCTCACACCTGTAATCCCAACACTTTGGGAGGCCAAGGCGGGCGAATCACGAGGCCGGGAGATCAAGATCATCCTGGCTAACACGGTGAAACTCCGTCTCTACTAAAAATACAAAAAAGTAGCCGGGTGTGGTGGCGGGCGCCTGTGGTCCCAGCTACTCAGGAGACTGAGGCAGGAGAATGGCGTGAACCCAGGAGGCGGAGCTTGCAGTGAGCCAAGATCGCACCACTGCACTCCAGCCTGGGCGACAGAGTGAGACTCCGTCTCCAAAAAAAAAAAAAAAAGCAAAGTATCCCGAGTGAGCCTGTAATGCGATACACGTTGATGAAGACCACAGGGAGCACCGGAGGTCATTTAGTCAAGCCATGGCATTTACTAGGAGTCCCATCACTGGGTATATGGCACAGTCCTATGTCTTACGTGGGGATGGAGCGAAAGCAGTAAAAGACACAATCACTGTGCTCAAGGAACTTAAAAACCTCGTTTGTGAAAGAAGGTTGATGTATGAGGTCACACAGAACCATGGAAAGAGCACTGGACCAGAATCAGGATATCTAGATCCTGGCTATAGTCACCCCTTCAGACAGGTGCGAGGAAAAGAGCAGTGAAGAACAAAACCAAAGTCCCTGGCCCTGTGGAGCTCAAGTTCTAGTTGAATAGACAGATTAAAAAAAAAAAAAAACCCAACGACAGAAAAATGTCACTTGTAGATAAATGCCAAGGAGAGAAACAAGGTCCTTGCAGAGAACAAAAGTTGTCAAGAAAGCTCTTTAGGATTAGTTGTCATTTAAGCAGTGACCTGAAGGGACTGCTGAAATGAACGTGTGTATTTATAGGCGATAAAGGTTCATATCAGGAGAAAGACCAAGCGTAAAGGCCCTAAGCTAGGAATGCCCGTGGTTACAGGGGAACAGCAAAGAGGCTCGTGCGACCAGGGCAGAGTGGGTAAGTAGAGGGGCAAAATACGAGCTCAAAGAGGGAGTGAGGTCATTTAGGGACCTACCGCCACGTTTGGGTTTTGCTCTGAAGGAGACAGAAAGCCACTGGAGTTTGAGCCAAGGCGTGAAGGAGTCTGACTTCTGCTTTCAAAGGATCGTTCTGGCTGTTGTGTAGAGAATGGGCCATAAAAAGGTGAATGGAAGAGGAGAAAATGGTTAGGAAGTCACTGCTGGAGCCCAGGTGGTGGACAACGGTGACTTGGAGGTCAGTGGTGGGAGAGGTGGGCGACACAGCCAACACGACTCACTGCAGGACGGCATATGGGTAATGAAAGGAGTCAGGATAATGCTTGAGTTTTTGGCCTGAACAAGTGGAAGATCATAGCTACCATTTATTAAGATGAGGAAGAATTTAACAGGAACAAGTTCGGTTACAGGGAATTGAGGGGAAGTCCAACAGTTCTGTTTTGATTACATTACATTTGAAATCCAAGCAAAGACTAAGAACGAACAATTGGAGTTCACAAGAGGCCTTGCGCCTAGAGATATAAATTTAGGATGAAACATGACAAAGGTCATCAAAAAACAGAAAAAGGAGAAGAGGCTAAACATTTGAGATGAACCAGAGACTACAAATGGATGCTGACTTGTTATAAAATTTCTGTGGAGGAAAAAGTGATGACAAATTTCTCAAATCAGGTTTACATGACAGAACACGAAGCATGAAAACGCGTTGAGTCCTTTGAGACTCTTCTGCTGCTCCAAACAGCTCTTACATGAAATCTGGTGCAACGTATCAAGATTTGGCTTTTTTTCCCTCTAAATATGTGATAAAATTGCAGTTTCAAATCGAGAAAAACTGTACATACATATTTGTAAACGAGTACTAAATTGCTTTAAGGACATCTATTTTGCATTAAGCAGCAACAGTATATTATCTATATATACTTATGTATAAAATAGATGGTAAAAATATAGGACAAAAACTCCTATGTTTAATTTTTGAAATTTTTAAACATTTTCAAATGTGTATAATTTGGGGAGGGATATATGTTTTAACACATATTTTAAAGTATAATGAGAACTTCAGTCGAAGTAATCCACCAACAACAAAGCCAGGTCAAACACATCTCATCTGTTAACTTCTGAATCAAACCAGCATGGGTTTTTCCTGAACTATGAAGCAAATTAATGGTTTTTTTCAAAATAGGAAAAAATCTTTATCAGTTTTATTCCATTGGTTTATTCTGATGGATTCTGATGGAATGTTTAAGAAGGAAAAGCTAACAAAGGGAAATGTCAGCTTGCTTGTCTTCCACTGGGAAACTTTTCCTGATTTTCTAAGATGACTTACCTCGTTAGCAGCATTTATCATACTGGATCATTATTTGCCCATTTACTTGCCATCATACACAACCAGATAGTAAAATACTTGCACGGCAGACACAGTGTTTCATTCATCACTCTAGTCCTGTACCTGGCACAAAGTCTGGCAAACAGAAGACACTAAAGAAAGTATTTCTCTTTTTTAGAGATAAGGTCTCACTCTGTCACCCAGGCTGGAGTGCAGTGGTGCGATCATGGCTCACTGCAGCCTCGAACTCCTGAGCTCAAGCAATCCGCCCTCATAGCCTCTGGGGTGTAACTGGGACCACAGGCCAGCACCACCATCCCTGATTAATTTTTTAAAACTTTTTGTAGAGATAGGAGTCTTGCTGTATTGCCCAGACTGACCTTGAACTCCTGACCTCAAGTGGTCCTCCCGTCTCGGCCTCCAGTGGTCCTGCCATCTCGGCCTCCAGTGGTCCTGCCATCTCGGCCTCCCAAAATGCTGGGATTACAGGAGTGAGCCACAGCTCCTGGATTTCATCTATACTAGTCTGAGTGTTACGTGTTAGTCTTTCTGGGCTAGTATACAGAAGGTTTAGTGTTTTGCCTACTCTCACTTTTATTTAAAATGCTGGTTCTGAAAGGAGCTGGGCACATTCCTCAGCCCCGGGCTCAAAACTCCCTGAGCCTAGTACAAACACATCCCATCCTCCCATCCCACCACATACTGCCATATATCTCTCAAACTCCCTGAGCCCAGTACAAACACCACCTGGAAAGTCTCCGATAAGGGGACAGCCGTTCAAGGTTACTGAAAGCGCGGGAGCCAAAAGAATTTCTTTGTTCCCCTGCAACTTTCGGGCTATAAAAAGCAAACGCTCGCATTGTTCGGGGCCCTCTTGCATACTGTGTAAAGGAGGGACCAGGTTCGAACTTGTAGTAAAGATCCTTGCCGCTTGGCTTTGACTCTGGACTCTGGTGGTCTTCTTTGGGGAACAAACAGTCTGGGCATAACAGTTCCATTCAGTACTATCTCAATTAATAACCTGACAGGAAATATTTTTGACACACACAACTGAGAGCAACAGTGGATATGCGGAAGCTCTCAGGTTTGTTTTTTTTTTAAATGAAAGAGTAGGTAGATAATATGTCCATGTGTGCCCAGTAACTTGAAAGGAATTGCTCTTTATATCAATAATTAAAAGAATGGAAATAAAGCCCAGAAATAAAAGTTTAAACATTTTTCAAAGTATTCTCTTTCTGAAAACAGTTTTCTTAGGGAACTGCACAGGTTAAAACAGTAAATGAATGCCTATGTCACAAAAAGATAATATTTAGAAAAGTATATTAATTGTACTATTTCAATAAAAATAAATGCAACTGGGTTAATGAATTCGTTCTAAAAATTAAGCTTGAGTATTACTTTAGAAATTTTTACCATTTCTTAAAACTGTAACACATATTTAAATTATTTTATTATTGCATGTAAAGTTATATTTACTTTTCATAATTTTTCCTTTAAACTAATCAAAAGCCTTCATATCCAACATTATAGTTTTTCTAGACAACAAAAATCTAGTGAGTTGCCTTTGAGCCTCTGTGTTTTATAAAAACAACTACGGTGAAATTTAAAATGTTCTGTGAACCAAATTCTTATGTCATTTGGTTCAGAGTCTAGGTACAGAAACTGACATTTGTGTTCTGAGGTTAACAATTCCCCTGTAGATTAGACACAAATAGCAAAATCAATACCAACACATAAAGTGAATACCTCAGAAACCTTATAAAGTGTATTACCATGTATTCAAATTTCACATTTTTCCTGAAATTCTTAGGACTAAAGGCTTTGTATTGTAGCAGCAGTTAAACTGAGATATTTGCAACACAAGAGAAAATCACTACTATGCCATTATCTTGCAATGGTAAAAATCAGAACAGCCATAAGAAAACTCACCACCAGTCAGAGCTGAGTAATTCTACACCATAACTCAAGAACCCAGCCACTTCCCAACCCCGTCCCCCAATTACTGAATTCTACACAGCCTATTTCAAATAATCCTTCCGATTTCCAAATATACGTATAAATCTTAAAGCACATTTAAAAAGAAGGGAATTCCGTGACTGAACACAACTGTCCAGTGGTCTCCTCCAAGACAATCTACATCTCCTTTAAAACTTCTCCTCTGAAATGTTCAGCACAATGCTTGGCACACTAGACTTTAGGCACATCAAGTTTACTAATTAGAGGG